TAGCCACCAGGAGATTCTGTCACAGTCGGATAGACAAGGAAGCCACTGCAAAGCCAAGAGAGGCTGCTGTAAGACACAGAAGCCAGGATCTTTTAAACATCCCTGGCAACAACTATGATTGCCTAGCTCCTGACACCCTGACCTTCACACCTGCCTTACCAGCCAAAGTGACACACTCACCAATTCTGGGAAAGTACTAATTCAGCATGCAAAAAGCTTTACTCATGCAGTGCTTCCTTTCTTTGATGGTATCTGCATGTGCAATCCCTTTCCACCCATTGGCTCTGAAACAGCAGGTTGGAAGGCTGCAAGCAGCATCATTCCCATCTGCCCTCCTGCAGGCAGCAGTAGGCAGCCTATCCTTCCCTCCTTCCTCCCTTGCCACCTTTTGGCTCTCAGACAGAAGCTTGTGAAACTGGTGCGGTGCGTGGGTAGCATATTGTTCTGACTAGTACTTCAGCTGTGCCAGTGCTGCCTGCTACTCTGTCATTCTTCCTCCACTGCAGTCTAACTAAGCAACACCTAGTCATCAATCTTCTCCCTTCTGCTCCAGAGAAGAGCCTCATCTGTGACACTTCCCCCCCAGCGACCATCCTGCCTAAGGACACAGCATCTTCATTAAGAAAGCAAATATTGTGTACATAACTTAGTGTCCTTCAGGCAGGGATGCAAGCCCAGAGCATCTCAAGGCCATGGCATTCTATTTCCCAATCTTCATTTCTGTGAGAAGCCCAACTGCTCACATGATGAAGATGGGCTATACACCAGTACTGGCCATCAAACTGCTAGAATCATGGGCCTGTCTTTGCTGTCCACTCAGCAGGTCACAAGTGTGAAAAGCAGAACCCATGGAAAGGCAACTTTTGCTGCTTTTTGGCAAGTGGAACAAGAGCTGGTCTCCAGAGAACAGGCATGGTAATACGCTGCAATGAACAGGGCATGAGTTCACATTATCAGTGCATTCTAGGTATTGCCTAATTATCCAGAAAGATGCAGACTAATGAGAAACTGAAATTAATTTCATCAGTAATCCAGTACTGCCCACAGCCATTAACCTGAAAACAGCTCAAAAGACAAAGGGGAATCCTAAAACTGTGACAGTCCAGAACACCAACATACAACATCCTGGAAAGATGATTCTTCATTATAACACGTAAACACGTACACAAGCTAACTTCTATAAACAGTTTGTTGTTCTAACTTCAAATAACTGAAATCCTTGTTTTAGAGATGGTTCAGTCCAAGTATTTCAGCCTGCAATAAAACCTTTAATCTTAGCAAATCAGCTTGAAAACTCCCATTACTTGTCCTGCTATTAAAATATGAAACATGAATTGGTCAGAATTTGTGTTTCACAGACTTTTTATGATGGAAGATACCTGAAAATGACATTCAAGAAGAATGTTGCTGCCCTTTCTCTCTCGATCGCCAAAGAAATTTATTCAGGTAGTAAACACCTGCATGTAGTAAATGGCTGGAGAAGCTTAAGATGCTATTGCCCTCCAAGCATTTGTTACTGATCCTCTACTGGAAGTTCCAACCTCTTCAACAGAGTTGGCAGAGCATAGAAGCGTTCCACTGTCAACGGACAACAGCTTAGTCTAAACCGTGAAGTTTTAGGCCACAAAGCACTGAACTATGCTCACCTGAACTCCTACGCTAGGCTCTGCAGTATGGCTGCAATCTCAGGGGGCATGGAAAGAGGAGTAAAATGTGAAAAAGGACAAGGTAATAACATCTCAAGTGACTGTTGGCTCACCAGGCACACGCTTGCACTGTCACTGTGATTACCTCCACAGTAAACAAAACCAAACCAAAGCAAAGCACAGGCCTCCCACACTTCCAGTGTCATTGGAAAAGCTTGAAATGCAGTTTCTGTACTAACTTGTGCAAGCAGCTTAACTACACTGTGCAGAACAATACTAGAATAATTCAGCCTTCTACTGGACTACTGCCAGAAGACTCCTTCAAGTAAAGGAAAGGTTTAAAGGATCACTACCAAAGCTCATAGTAAGCATAATGATTCCTGCAGAAAAATATTCAACAGCCCATTCTGTGACCTTCATATGATCTCCTCCTCAAAGACGACATTAAAATCTTTGTGGGAAGCCCGATACTTGCTAAGGACAGATGCTCAAAAGTATGCTAATTCATAAGGGGAATTATGACAAATATTGAAGAGTAGCAGTTCGTAAGTCAACTGGCACAGAGGAGTGAGGGGCAGCTTCTCAAATTATCGTCTCCTCACCACCACTTTCTTAAGGAAAATCTCCTATGCCCTTAAGCATGAAAATCTCTTGCTGCTGCCTTTTATTTGGAAGAAAATAAACAAGCAGCAGAATATACACAAAGACAGTACAAAACCTACCTATAAATTATTTCACTAATTCATGAAATTGCAAAAAACTTCCAAGTTATGGGAAGAATGCCTAAGAAAAGAACTCTCCAATATAGAATTAAAAATGAAATTAGAAATGAAAAGGAACATGACCAGCAGGTCGACGGAGGTGATCCTGCCCCTCTACTCTGCTCTCATGAGACCTCACCTGGAGTATTCTGTGCAGTTCTGGTGTCCTCAACATAAAAAGGATATGGAACTGTTGGAACAAGTCCAGAGAAGGGCCACAAGGATGATCAGGGGGCTGGAGCACCTCCCATATGAAGATAGGCTGAGAAAGTTGGGGCTGTTCAGCCTGGAGAAGAGAAGGCTGCGTGGAGACCTCATAGCAGCCTTCCAGTATCTGAAGGGGGCCTATAAGGATGCTGGAGAGGGACTCTTCATTAGAGACTGTAGTGATAGGACAAGGAGTAACTGGTTAAAACTTAAACAGGGGAAGTTTAGGTTGGATATAAGAAGGAAATTCTTTCCTGTTAGGGTGGTGAGGCACTGGAATGGGTTGCCCAGGGAGGCTGTGAATACTCCATCCCTGGCAGTCTTCAAGACCAGGTTGGATGAGGCCTTGGGTGATATGGTTTAGTGTGAGGTGTCCCTGCCCATGGCAGGGGGGTTGGAACTAGATGACCTTAAGGTCCTTTCCAACCCTAACTATTCTATGATTCTGTGAAATACTAAAGAACAAACATGAATAAGTTTAGCACCTGAAGCTACACACTTTGTTTTACCGCTTGACAACTTTACCTTTATTAGTAAAAGTAGGAAGATAAAATGAAAGCTGGAGAGGGGCTTTTTACAAGGGATCATAGTGACAGGATAAGGGGAATGGATTTAAATTGACAGAGAGGAGATTCAGATTAGACATTAGGAAAACGCTCTTCCCTGTGAGGTTAGTGAGGCCCTGGCCCAAAGAGGCTGTGGCTGCCCCACAGTGTCCAAGGCCAAGGCTGAAAGGGGCCTGGAGCAACCTGGTCTAGTGGAAGGTGTCCCTGCCCATGGCAGCAGGTTGCAATGGATGAGCTTGAAGGTCCCTTCCAACCCAAACCAGTCTGGGATTCTATGAAAACAATGAAATTAAGCAACGGGGTAAGTCTGTACTTAGCACAGTCATAGCAAGGGCTGTCAAGAGAAACTGACAAGCTTGTCCATGTAGAAGGGATTTTCCCTGTTTAATTTAGTGTATTCTTGTGGTAGTAGCCTTCAGAAATGAAAAACGTGACTTATTTAGACTCAACATAGATACCTGTGTCCTCCAGTTTAGTTTTACAGACAACTAAAAAAAAACAATCTCATTTTCTAGAGCTATAGTTTCACAAGAGGATGCAAAACCCCCACTACATTCTCTTTGATGAGATTTATGAGTTACACACTGGCATTTTTAGCTTCATTATGAAATAGCTTTAAATAGTATTTCTGTTGCTTCCTGCATAAAAAGGTGAAGTGTTGTAACACATCTTAAAACAAGCTTCTGTTAGAGACATACCTATTACCAGTTTAACATCAAATAGCAGCCAACAAAAAACAGTATTGCCCAAGTTACAATTTTTTTTCTGACTTATATAAAATATTTTTAAGGGATACAGAGCCAGAATACAAATAAATTAATAAAATTATTAATAAACTAGCTGCAGGTCCCTGAGTTTATAATACTCTGAATACATTATATCAGTTAACATAATATTCTGCATTTCAAGCTCTTCAAGAAAAAAAAATGAAGCATTTGATATACATACAGCCTAGTAAAACATATCCCCATTTTTTCTACTTTGAAGCCAGGATATTCAGTTAGTTTTCTTCCTACTTAATAATGCTTATAGTATTATAACTAAACAGCTAACTGTAGCTAAACCAATTTAAAGAAATTTACATCATTTACATCATTTCAGTGTTCCCAGTATTTACTGCAAATACTGGAAAACAAATCTTCATTATTAAAGATATTCATGTGAGGAAAAAAAAACCCCAACTACGACAAAAAAGTCCTTCCTTCTCTGCTGTAAAAATGAGCCTGTGTTTGGATTCAGACCTAATTCCTCCTGATGCTTACTGTAACAGTGGAAATGCTTTTTTCCTAAGTTGCCATGCCAACGTCAACAACAAGGAAAGATGCTGGAAAGATTCCCAAAATGTAAATCTTCTTTTTCTTGTGTTGTTAAACCTTAAGCTACGTGCTGAATTACACTTTCTAGGATACAGTGTGCAACTTCAATTCTGCATCGTTTTTTCAGAAAAAAGAAACATACTTGATAATTATCCCTTTGTGTGTGTATTATTTTTTGACTAATACAACTCTCAAAAACATTTAATTGAATACTTCTATTTTACACTAGCTGTGGGGTTAAAACTATTTAAAAACATAAAGAACTCCATTCAATATGCTTTAACAAAGTACTCCAGTTGTGCTTTCAGGCCAGACTTACAAGTGAAGGTGATCAGGACCGCTTTCCTGAAGAGCACTGTAGCACTTTAACTCTACAGAACATGGGTTGGGAAGAGCAAGTCAGGCAAATCAATTAACGATATTTGAAGAAATCAAACATCATTATTCCCACAGGGAACATTTAAGCAATGTAGCAAAAATGAGAAGAGCCCATTGTGCACTCACCATTCTTCCGTTCATTGAGAGGAGGTAAGTACTGACTGGGCTGCAGTGAGAGTTCCTTGAACTCATGTGCAACTGCTTCACTGTGAGGGCTGGGAGCGAGTCGGGTCTGTGATCCAGAGTCATCCTCAGCATCCGCTGTCCCCAGGTGATTCATTGTGGTAAATCCTCTGGAGACAGGGAGAGCAAGTGCTCTCTTAAGCACGCTGGAGCGGATAAAACTAAGAAAGAGAGGAAAGAAAAAAAAAAAAAAAGAAAAGGCAGACACATTACTATTCTCATTCGGGTTTTGGTCAGTTCCTTTGCATACAACATGCAAATTTAGAATGATCCACACAGGATCCATAAATTTTCCAGAAATACTACACGTTTGAAAAAATAGATTTAAGCAATGTATTTACAAGCAATTTCACAGTCCTTTGATTTTGAACAGGGCAGTTCCCCTGCTCAACTTTGACAGAACAACCACACAGTGTTAATAATCAGTATGGATACCCTGTGCTTTCCCTTTTAGCAAGTGACATGGCCTGATTATCAGCAGAACATTCTATTTTTTCAGTAGCTTATATTGATTCAGCATTCTCTAATACATGAGAACATACAAAGGGCTTTTAATGTTTTCAAGCACTGCACAACTTTCATTCAGATCAAAAATCAACTTTGGTGTTAATGCTGGACTTGGTACCAAAGAACTGTATCAGAACTAGTCTGACCTCTCCAGGAAGGAAGTCTTCTTGCCATGATTTTTTTTCAAATTAACTTTACTGCATACTAGCTCCTTATTGTAAAATACAGAATGGAACAGAAGTCCCAGTTTATTACTTTCTATCATTAATGTGGTACTTAATCTACAGTGAGGAGAGATAGAAGTATGAATTACTGGCAGAAGCTTTTCATCACTCACAGAACCCTATCAAGACATTAAAATTTCAATAAATCAGTATGGACTTCAATGAAGTTCATCCCTGGATTCTTGGAAACTCAAACCATACAAAACATTAACAATTCAAGAAGACCCATAAAAAAATCTTATTATTGATTTTTTTTTTTAATTTTAGTTCTTTTTCTTCAGAAACACTTCTGCTTGCCCATTCCCAACCTTCAATTTCGAACTTTGTGTACGCTGAACATAAATACTGTACATGCTGGGGTGTGTATTTAAAGGTTTTTACAACACAACATGGATTTTGATGACCAGACCCAAAAGATTTGAAATGTTACTTGGTATTTTAAGAAGCAACAAATGACAAAGAAGTTATCATGACCACCAAAGAATGGCCTACACTCCAAAAGGGGTAATGCATCATGTCGCTGATTTAAAGTGCCCATTTAAAAATAAAAACAAGTGCTGCTTGATACATACCTCAGTAGAAAAATGATGATGGTTAAGTGCATATTTTTTCATTATTTTCCATAGTTACCAATTGGTGCTTTCACATTACATGAAGACACATTAACTTACAGTTATGCAAGATTTTTGTCTTTGTTCTTAGCTTTTAGAAGCATAATTTACCCGACTCAGATTCCATTCCCTGACATTACACTCTCCTCAAACTCCTACGCACCCATACAAATTAAGTACATTATTAACAAAGTCTCTTCAGAGCAGAATTTCAGGGAAAATTTAGCTGCTTATCTGCTCATATTCCTAGCATTTTATCCACCGTTTATTAGCTATGAGTTATGTCTTGGAATCACTTTTCAAAAAGATTAAACCACATTAACTGTATTCACACCATTAAATCCTACGAAATTAATAGAAACACCTTCTTGTACTAAAGGTTTAACATACTAGGTTTGACTAATTCCTTTCCCCATTACACATAACTACATATCCTGCTATAAATTAAATCATCTCAACTCTCATCATTTCTGGAACAAGCTGCTAAGTTAGTTACATGTCCATTTTTAAACTGTCATTTCAGGAACGTATGTAAATGTGGCTTTACTGACCAGATGCAACTAAGAACACAGCGTGCAAGAAGTATATACAGCACATTAAATTCTATTTATTGCACCACTGAAGTGCAAACCAAAACAAGCAAACTTCTCACAAAAAATGTGCTTAAATTAACTGTGGTTTGAACCTGACTGTATCAGGTTAGAATGACCTGGAGGTCATCAAGTCCATCCCCAATCCCAAGTAGGGCTACCAGCTGCTCAGGTCTTGTCAGGTTCTGAACATCTCTAAAGGTGGTGATTCCACCACCTCTGGGTAACCCCTCTGTGAATGTGTTGCCCACCCCCTTCAAACAGAATTTCTTCTCCTGCAACCTGTGGCTGTTGCATGTTGCTGTTCTGCTCTAACACAGGAGATGCTACTGATTGTGACTCTCAGATCTCAGATTTTATTGCAGTTTCATGCAATCCATGTACTTATCATTATGAAACTCTGAAACCAAAGTCCTCCAATGCAGAACTCTAACCCTAATCAGAAAGTTTCAATTCACAGTAGAGTCTCAGATACTGCAAATTCCTTGTCTTAAATCTTTTGGATAAACAATTTGAACCACTAAACCCAAAGTTGGTTAAAAAACAGCTAGCATAAACATCCACTATTTATCAGTTTACCATCCTTTACAGAATTTCACAAGAACATGCTTCTAGGAAGCAAAACTGAGACAGGTTGCAGCATGTACACTGAAATACCACAGCTGAGCCTCTTGTTTCCTCAAGCAGTTGTCTACACTGATTCACAGAACAGGATGAGGTCACTACCTACTATTCCATGCAGAATACTCTTTGCCTCTTTTGCTGCAAGGGTGCTGCAAACTCCTTTACTTATAGGCTGTAGGCTGTTAAAAATCCAGGTATCTTCCCAAATGATACTTTAACACCAGAACAACCTTGTTGCTATGTTGCTATATCATCTGTGAATGTAAGACACTCTAGAATTCCCAGAGAGCCTGAATTCTCAAATTCCTCAGTCATGTATCAAATTATATTGGCTCTCATTTAATTTTTACTGATGAACTGTCATTGTATGAGACTACAGAAATATTTTTGAGCTTAGAACAATGAATTGTCTTGACCTCCCCCCCCAAAAAAAAAGAAAACACACACCGCCACCCAACATCTGTAATGTTTTTTTTGGTAGAGAGAAAAAAGTCTGTGACCTACATAGTGGCTCAGATACACTAGGATTAAACTGACAGGGGGGAGATTGAGATGAGATCTTAGGCAGAAACCCTTCCCCATGAGGGTGGTGAGGCGCTGGCACAGGTTGCCTAGAGAAGCTGTGGCTGCCCCATCCCTGGCAGTGTTCAAGGGCAGGCTGAAAGGGGCTCAGAGCAACCTGGTCTAATGGAAGGTGTTCCTGCCCGTGGCAGGGGGTTGCAACTGGATGAGCTTTAAGGTCTCTTCCAACACAAAAACAATCTGATTCTATGAACAGAATATCTAAACAATACTGTAAAGATGACAAATTATAGACTTGTAATACTAAAATGTAAACAATTTGTCTCTTCTCTCTTGTTCTATTAGAATCTAAAGGAGAACTCAGCTGTTACTGCTCATCCATGAAATTACTAGTTTGTCTTAGGCAGGTTTTCTTATTGTCAGAGTAATTAGGAAATGTAAATAAAAATAATTTTGATAAATACCTTTTCAAACAGACAAGAAGAAAATAAAGACATCTCAATGAAAACATCTTTTTACACTGTTGTATGCATCGGATAATAACCCACTACTATTTTTTAGCACCCTCATTTTAGTTGCTAGAGAAGATGCATATAATTGCTTTATCATCAGCTGGAGGTTACAACCAGCAGCATTTACTACACATGAAACTAGACTTAAGATATGCAGAACGTCTCCTGTCTATCTTCAGTTTGCAAAACCCATGCTTCATTCTGACATTTCTAACAGAACTGCTTGTTTGGACATCAGCAACTCAAACACACAAAACGAGTAGGTAGAAGAGAACATTAGTTCACCCTGATTGAAATCTAACCCTGCACAGTAAATACTTCATCCAGTCATTAGGTGCAAGAGTGAGAAACACATTTGATTTAGAATTTAATGTACTGTGATACTATCATATTTTAAAGATAACACATTTGCCTCCCCTTTCTCATTTATTTGAAACCTCCTCTATCTTGAAGAATTATTTCATATTTGCCATTTGCATTTGCAGATAGTAACTGTTTTCTAGGTAACCCCTGACTTTAAGCAGACCAATACACAGAAGCATATTAATAACGTAACTGAAACTCAACACTAAAAACGTGCACACGAAAAATACAATTAAAAAATAAAAAAACTGGTATATTAAATTCTCAGTTTTGTATTCTGCATAATCTGAGAAAGCCCCATTTTATACAAGAATAATCTGACAGAAATAAATTGTCACTTCAGGGGTTTCCACTCCCTTCCTTGAAACCAAGATATCTAAAGGTTTATTAAGCTGTATAACCATCATCCTATTTGGTATGAAAATAATTTCTACTTAGACAGTGTTGGAAAGTGTAATACCAGTTTATTTGTAGCAACTAAAATAAAACTACTCCATTCTTCCAATAGTCCCAAAGGATCTCAGGTTTGGGGGTGGTTTTCTGTGGGTTGGTTTTACGTTTTTTTTTGGGGGGTGGTTTCATTTTTTTTTTCTTGACACAGAATTCAGCAAAATGTTTAAGAGTAGCAAAGCGAAAACTAGGACAGAATTATTTTCCTACTTAACCTTTGGAATAGACTATCAGAATAGACTGCGCAGCAGCCCTGCAAGCAATGCTTTGGTTCACATGTATCTGACAACTACACAGAAACAGTGCTCTAGTACTGGCAGAACAGAACTCCTGTACAATGTATGAGTCTTATGTAAGTGTTCTCACAGATTGTAGGTGGTTGCTATCTTTCTGAACTGCTGAAGACAAACGCTTCTTTTATTTCTCTTCAAAAGACAAAGTATATTTCCTTAGAAAAATCTTAGAAGGGGGAAAATCCATACTTCCCTGCCAGCCAAGACACTGGAACTGGTATTTTATTTGGCACAAACAGAAATCTGGATGACACGTAGGTAGTAAATCAGCTTTCATTTTAGAAATCTGCTGGAAAACAGTTCAAGAATCACAGTGAATTCAAACTCCAGCCAAGTCAAATGGCTGACCTCAACACTGCTCATTCATTTACGTTTGCAAGGAACTTAGCTCGCTATGCACAGCATCAAATTAGTAGTAGTCACACCAGATAAGGTATTAGCAATACCAGGCTCCAGTGCATAACT